TGCAGTCCTGCTCTCAGCTCCTAATTGTACCTCTTGAAACCCCACGTTCCTCCCCAGAGTCCACTGGAACCGGGTGTTCTCCATGTCCCTCTTCATCGAGCACGTCTTGCTGGACATCAACACTCTGATGCCAGGATTTGAGAATTTAGTGAGAAAATATACTTTGCTTCTTGCTGAGGTAAGCAAAGACGTGATGTCCCCTCTGCCTTGCTCCCTTCTGCTGACCCTGTGGAGGTGTCTGGGGGGTTGGAGCTGAGCACCAGCTGTGTCCTTTCCCTCCGCAGTGTTTCCAGCGTGGTTCAGACATGAAGACTCACCCAACGTTCATTGCAGTGATGAAAGTGCTGTGCCAGTGTAAGGACGAGGTCAGCAACAGGCTCCACAGGTAGTGACACTGAGACAAGTCATGGGGGAACGTTGCCTCTGTTGCCAGTGTGTTTCTGAGCATGAGGGAGTGCTGCATACAATGTCATGAAAGCCAAAGGAAGAGCAGGAACTTCTATTCTGCACCCTGATGCTAAGCAGTTAGTCAACAGGTCTCATGGTCTCCTCTTGGTCAAGTTGCAGATGAGCATATTAAAGGCTTTTTGGTAAGAGAAAGGTATTGGGTATTGAAGCAATTGTCCATTACTCTTTCTGAACGACAGGTATGGCCTGAATCCATGTTCCATCTGCCTAAGAGAGCCAGAGGACCCAGTCTGCCTGCCTTGCTACCATATGTTCTGTCAGAAGTGCATCAGAATGTGGCTAGTACCAGCACAGATGCATTGTCCCTGCTGCAAAGTTGCTGTGGAGGAGAATGTTGATTTAAATGTCTCCGTGGAGCTCAGGTACTGCAACCTCTCCAAGGTGGAAGCATTGCAGCGGGGTTGGCTGTGTGAGGATGTTCTGATGTGCAGCTCTGAAGGTGTCAGCAGGCCCAGAATGGGTGCAGGGAACTCTGCTCTGCTCTCTCTGGGGCAGGAACAGGTCCTGTCTGTTCTCTTTGTTTTGAAAGAAGGGAGGATGTTGCCTTATCTGTGTAAGAAAACCAGTTACAGCTATAGTTCAGCACTGTCAGTGGCTGATGGGGACAAGGGGAATGGCTTGTCACTGTGGATTGCTTTGTGATAGCTTAGCAACAAGCTCTCAGTAAATGGATCTGGCACCACAGTGCCACTTGTGATCTTAGCTGGCAATGTGACACAGCCTTTGCAGACAGTACTACTGAAGTGTTGCACAAACCCAACCTTTTGGAAAGCTGGAAAAGTCTCTTGCTTTGGTGTTTTTTGCCTGTCTCTGCTTTGCTTCATCTGCTTTTTAAGTGGTTCTGTATTGGAGCCTTGTCCTAATGCTTCTGATGCTGTCCTGATCCCCTCCCCTAGAGAGGCCATAGTGAGGAATGCCCTGTTCCGGCAGAGGTGCAACAACTTCTTCATCCATGTGGTCACCACCATGTGCTTCAAGGACAACGAGCCCCCTGAGGCAGAGGTGATCCAAGAGCTCCTGAACCTGCTCTTTGTTCATAGAAGCCTCTTGACAGACTCAGGTGAGTTGCCTTCACCCGGATGCTCAGCCTCATGCAGGTGATTCTCTTGCCACCTTCTCCTACCTGCCAAACTTGTCTTTTCCCCCCAGATCACCCTGCTATCTACACAAAATTTCTGTCCCCATTTAATGATGAAGTGGATGAAACTCCCATTATCCGCTCAGTGATGCTGAAGCTCCTCTTGAAGTACAGGTGAGCACAGTCAAACAAGGGATGGGTGTTACACTAGGGGTGGTTCAGCTTTGTTTCCCATGACCTCCTCTAACCAATCTGCTGGGTCTCCTCACTTCCATGCTCATCACTGAATTTGAATCATTACTGGTGAAATCCATCGTGTGCCTTGGTAGTGGTTGTGCAACTTGGCTGGCTTGCATGTAGCTTGTGTTGTAGCATCTGGCCAGTCTGTGCCAAGGTTTACCTGTGTTCTTAACCTAAACCTGTACTTAAGGTGGACAGCCTGGGTAACCTGAAGGCAGCTGACTGATTTGCTCTAGGTGAGCAGAGCAACACTCCTCACCCACAGACATTTAATCAAGAGCAACCTCGTGTGTGCTTACACAGAGCTCTGTTCACAGCAGCTCCTCCAGCCTCCCTTTGCAGTCAGTGCACAGAAGCCATTTCAAGTGTGATCATCTCCTAAATCAGACGCTTAAAATAGATCAGATGACTTGTGCCCTAAAAATGCTCCTTTAGTGGTGTTGAGGATAAAAGCCTAGTTCAGAGTGAAGCTAGATGACACCTGGCCAAACACAACACGATTGCTTTTCCATCTTCCAGATGGATCCAGAGGGACCCCTCTGTCACATGGACACAACTGGTAGTTTGATCATCATCTAGAGCATTAGTATCTGTCAGTAATCAGTGGTGGTAAGGGGTGTTTCTCTCTCCTGTAGCTTCAATGAAGTGAAAAATGATGTCCAACGCTACCTGTCCCGAGTAGAGCACAGCAAGATCCTAGAGAAAAATGATAAAAAAGAACTCTACTTGCTTTTTGTCAACTGTTTAGAGGTAAGAGTGCTGGGTAGGCAAGGGCTGGGAAGTAAAACTGTTGCAGGAATTAAAAAAGTCAAGAGTAGAAATTCTTCTGCCATTTCAGGCACATTTCTTGTGCCTATAACTAGCTGTCCAAAAGAGCTAAAAGGGAGTTTGTATCAAACCACCTGGTCAGAACATGCTCTCCAGTAACTAGCCTTGCTTTCTGAGGTGAGGCCTCTGTATTTGCAGCATTACATCAATTCTCTCTTGGGCACCTGGGACAGTGTGTCCAAGTGTTAGGCAAGTCCTGGTAAGAGGCAAACTCCAGTGCAGGAGTGCAGCAGGCAGGGAGATTTCTAGTTGCTGTAATCCACTACAGGATTAAGTTCTTGTTTTCACACTCACTTTGCAGAGCCTCAGATTATGATGCTCTTTGGATTGTTCCCTTTCCTCCCATGCATAACTTCTAATGCTTTGGACAACTCTAAACAAACTAGACTTTAACTTCTTACACTTTTCATTAAAAAGGGTGACTTTTGTAGGTAAAATCAAAATTTGTGTTCTTTCCAAGGGAAAGCTTGGCACCTCAGGGCGTGTGATGTGTTTCAGCCTGTGTGGTCACTTGACATGCTCATAACTCTTGCTTGGCTACATGCTTAGGAAATACAGGAGGGAGCTCTGGGCATGTTGCTGCAAATGGAGTTGGGTGATGGGGCAGAGCTTTAGGGTAAGCACTGCAGAGATCACAGGGAGGGGCTAATGGCATTGGGGTGGAGGGTGCCAGAAGAGACCTGGTGGTTTAATGTGCTTACTGCAGTGTGGGGGCACTGGAGATCTCAGGTGTTAACTCATGGGACAGCCCATTTCAGTGGTTCTGCCCCTCATGCAATATTCTGACCCATCTTCAGGATGCCATGTGTGAAAAGTCTGAGGGCAGCCTTGGATATGAGCATATCAACTATCTGCCTGGAGAAAGAGGTTTTCCAGAGAACTATCTGCCAGCATACAACCAGGAAACCCCTCCAGAGTCATCTGTTGAATACCTGCAGGCAGTAGCCAAGGTTCGCTTGTACCTGAGTAAGGCTGTGGAGCTGCTCTTTGACTTGCATGAGGCCAGGGGTAAGTCTCACTGTGCTGTCAGGTGGCAGTGCTGTATGCAGAGGAAAGCCACCCTGGGAGATGGGCTTGACATGATCAGCATGCCTGTGCTCTGCTGGAGCTGCTTCTCTGGCGTGGCCAGGAACGAGCACATCAGCTCCCTCCTGTCTGTCTTTGGAGTGTCAGTCATCATTTAGCCTCTTAACCAGCTATCAGAAATGCTCTAAGTGGCAGCAGGGCTGTGCTGGTGACCCCTAGGGTGTTGTTACATAGCACTTGTGCCTTTGAAAGGGGATTTATTTTATCCTCCAGGTCCTAACAATGAAATTTCATTTAGAGCCAACTAAATTGAACTTTAATGAATAAATGAGTAAAGCAGAAATGATGCTTCAGATATGAGATTGCTGTAAGGCTTATTGTTTTAAATGAATGAGAGCTCTGCACAGCTAAAAATGAAGCAATGCTTTAAAAAAAAATAATAAAGTTTTACTGGGTCAGCAATAAAGGAGAACAGTGTGTGGAGAGTTTCAGATACTTACACAGTTCATGAAAAATTGAAGTGTGGTAATGTAACTAATTCAGAAAGATTGAAGTGTGGTAATGCAACTAATTTCAACAGACTTCAGTGTCCAGCCCTTGTATGAAGGATGTCAGGCCACCAAAATGTGTCCCAGGAGATAGTCCTTAGGGAGCACCATTCCCTTAGTGGCTGAGAGGCCGGAAAGCTGTTATGGAGCAAGATGGAAGAGCTCTGAGAATGAACTTGCCAGTAAATGGGAAAACTTGTCCTTGAGAGGAGGAAATAGAAGTAGAGTATGTTGTCCTCTGTTAAGAAATGAGTAGTGTAGAATCCTGCTGAGGAAATACTCTATATAAGCACTGGGGGAAGAGAGGGCTGTACGTTCTCCTCTGTGACTAGTCAGTACTAGCAAAAGGGGCTTGGTGCTACAGCTAGTGCCAACAGAAGAGTTTTACAAGCTAGGATGTGATTTTTTCACCTCTTTTGTCCCCCCTCCAGAAGCAGAGCAGCTGGAGGAGAAGCAGCATTACCTGGCAGGTGTGGAGCTGTTCTGCAGCCTCACCAGGAACGACTGGCACCGCGTGTACCTCGTGCGGAAAATCGCCACGCAGTATGGCATGGAGTTTGCTCAGAAGCTTGTCACAGAGGCACAGTTCAACTGGGTGTTCCCAGGGGAAATTCTGGAGCAGGTAAAGAGGTGGTGTCTCCTGTTAGCTTCAGGCTGGGCTGCTTTGGGGTGTTTCTGCTCTTGGGGGACCCACTGCAGTGGGAGTGCTTGTGACTTCTCCCTCTCTGAGTGGAGTCTGTCGCAGTGGTGAGAAGCCATCTGGGCTGCCATGCTGGAATGCCACAGTTCCTGTGGCATTAGGGTTAGAGAAGGGGAGGTTCTGCCTTGTCCAATGGCTGGGTGATGCCCACAGTGCTCAGCACAGCTTCTCCCTGTGCAGGCTCAGAGCAGCCAGTCGAATCACATCGACCGTTACCTGGCCTGCGGCGAGCCTTACAGAGCCCTGCGTGATGCTGTGGGGAAAGCCATGATTGAGTGTGAGACTGAGGGCCTGCTGGAGGCAGAGAAGGTAAGGGACACCCTCCTCACCCTAATCCTGTGGGCAGTGGCGTGTTTAACTTGGTGTTCCTGTTGGGAGTGTCTCTCAGGAGATGCCAGAGCTTGGCTTGGCAGTTACTGCAGCTTATGCTGGCAGACACACGTTTACTTTACTTTCTCTCCTGTGTTCCAGCATCAGTGACTCTGAGGTCATTGCTGTTGGCTGCCTCATCTCGTGGCCCTCCCCTCATAATCTGTTCTATTCCCCATGTGTAGTTTGTGTGTGAAAATCTTCAGGAAGATGTTTGCAAGCCATGTGCCTTGGAATGTCTCTGTGCCATCTATTACACAGGGGCTGCTATTTATTGTTTTCACTTGGTGCTGAAGGCAGGAGTGTGCAGGTGGCTGCCTGCTGAGGTCACAGTTCCAACCAGATGATAGAATGAAATATTTGAGAGGATTCTGATGTCAAACCCTCAATCAGCTTGAGTGCTGTCAGGTTACTCATTTATGGCTTGAACAGCCATTTCTACACCATCCCACTTTATGTGGAGAGTTGTGCCATGGGCCTGATGAAGACACAGAATTAGAGAATGGCAGGAGTGGGAAGGGACCTCTGGAGATCTTCCTTTCCAACCCCCTCTGCTCCAGCAGGGTCATCTAGTGCAGATTACACGGGAACACATCCAGGCAGGTTTTGGAAGTCTCTGGAGAGGGAAGGAGACTCCACAACCTCTCTGGGCAGCCTGGTCCATGTTCTGTCACCCTTGCAGGAAACAAGTTTTTCTTGATGTTGAGATGAAACTTCCTGGGTTCCAGTTTGTGCCAGTTGCCCCTTGTCCTGTTGCTGGGCACCACTGAAAAGAGACTGGCCCATCCACTTGACACCCCCCTCCTTCAAGTATTTATAAACATTGACAAGGTCAGCTCTCAGGCTGCTCCTCTCCAGGCTGAACAGGCCCAGGGCTCTCAGCCTTTCCTCATGAGATGCTCTAGTCACTTAATCATCCTCATAGCCTCTGTTGGACTCTCCAGTCTTCCCTGTCCCCTTTGAACTGGGGAGCCCAGAACAGGACACAATACTCCAGAGGTGGC